AAAGGAAATATCCATTCTTCTCTGGGAAGCAAGCTGGGAGTCAGCAGGCAGACCCCTCCACGGTGCATAAGGGCATGAGCTCATGAGAGCTTGAGGTTCATGCTGGTGCTGGTCACATTCTGCCAGGGTCTAGAATTACTTATATGCTGGTCAGGCACTTTCATTAGACTTTGAGCCCTTGGAGGATACCTTGCAACTGGTATCTCTTGTGTCCCATGTCTGGCATACAGTGGTGCTAATTAAGTGTTTGTTGAGCTGAGTTTTCTCCAGCAACAGGGCTCACAACTGGTGTGGCCAAGCCCAAACAGAGCACGGTGTAAAGAGAAGCTGAGGACAGTGCTCTAACCTGAGTGCTTTGGTGATTAGGCAAAGAGGCCTTGTGCCCACCAGGACAGGAGAGTCGAAGCTGTGGGTGGGGTGCAGCCCACACCTGGCTTCGAGGCCAGCAGACCACATGCCCACCACAATCCCACTCCTGGTCCCTCCTACAACCCACTTCAGGCTGTGTTTAGCCTCCCCATCCTTACCCTGCTTCTTTTTGGCTTTCCAAACCTCTGCAGGGGCCAGAGACAAGCGAGGGGAAGAGAGTCCCCTGTGGCTGCAGAGGCTGTCTGAGCTGGTCCAGGGGCTGGAGAGCTGGGCCAGCTGGGGTGGGAGGCGCCTGACAGCTGGGACTCGGGGACTTGGCCGGGCTGGGGGGCTGGAAGGCATCTCAGCAATGAGGGAGCCATAAAAGGTGCTAGTGTCGGGAAGCAGGGGCACACCAGGACTTCGGGGATCCCAGGAGATCACTGCAGTAAAAACAACAGGAAGAATTATGGTGAGTGCATCCCGCCCCACAACCCTGACTAGAGCCTGGGATCCCTGCTCCACCGCGAGGCCCCCACAGTTAAGTGGTGCAAGCTCACAGGAGCGACGACAGTCTAGGGGGTCCCGGGGGTCTGCTCCCAGCCGGCTGCTGAGGCTGCTGCTACTGCTCAGGTCGCGGGAGCCAGCGGCGCAGCGCCAGGTGTCTGCCA